TCCAAAATGCAAGATTGCGCTCAAATGGTGTAAGAAGTATATATTCTTTCTCTTGCAACCTAGAGAAATTATTTCATTTTTAAGGAATTACTCAGTGTGGATATTTGGGGAAATACCTGTTAAAGGGATGCTCATGTATTAATAATCCAAGTGTGTAGTATAAATTTTATCAAGGCAATGATAGTTAATTCTTATATTATTATAATTATACTAATGATAATAACAATCATTACTAACAGTAATTATCAATGGAATTCATAAAAGTCATTTAATATTGGTAATAATAGCTATGATGAGATCAAAACACCTTAAGATTTTCTCAACTACTCACAGTCAACTTTTACCTTTATGACCAAACTTTTAATAAAACATATTTGATACTGTTCTTGTATATGTTACAAAAACATAACCAGTTTCCACATGTTGTTTAAGAGAGCATGTCATGCATGTTAAAGGACAGCTTCATTTAACTTGTGCTAGAGATCCTTTTGTTCACTGCTGATGAAAAAACTGGAATGATAAAAATCTCTATGACACCCATCCATTTCAACCAATGCATGTTTATGAAAATCACTGTGCTGAACCTCACTAAGATGTTCCACTTTATGGAAGGAAAGATTCTTACTGGGCAAGGTGTCTTCTCCATTCAAGAAAACTGTCCTTTTCTATTTGGTCTAGATCCTCAGCTGTCATGTGCTCATTCCAGTTTGGCCTTTAAGGTAAAAATCATAATCATGTTATCAATTTCTGACAATCATGAGCCATGGTCCTTAATGGAAATGCACTCTATCAACATAGTGGTTCAAATTTTCTTTCTGAAGTCCACTCTTATTCTAAGTACTAATTGCATTTTTTTTAACCCTCATTTTTACTGGCTTTCCATTGCATAAAAATAGCATCTTCCTTAGTTTTCTTTGTCTGCTGTTTGTCCTGCTTTTTTACTTTTTTTTCTGCTTTTTTGTGTTTTGTGTGGGTGTGCATGCATGAGAGGTATCTGACCCCAAAATACATTAACAAATCACACTAAGTGTGGCTGGTGTATCTTTCTAGCCCTTTCTGGTAATGAAGGGCAGCCTGTACTCTTTGAAATACATGTAGTTTATAACTGCTGTTACTTGACTTGTAACTATCAGGAACAAAAAATGAAGTTGTTGATATTGCTCAAAAGTTCAAAAACCAGTTTAATATGTATTTTCATTTGTCTTTGATCTTTTACCATGATAAAAGAGAAAGAGCACAAGAATAAAACTGCTTTGAAAATTTTGAAGCCAAGGAAAAATTTAGACCACAAAATCAGTATGAATAAACCTGCGAGGAATCCTGAGGAAATGCTGGTTGTCCCTCTGTGCTTGTTTAATGGCAGCAGCAGTTTCACTACTCAGGAGACCCTCATTACTCCCTGGTGTCACAATTGTTGTGTTCAACTTTTCTGTAATAAGAAAAATGTTTCAAAAGACAAATGTTCTACAAATGATTGACCATGTTATTGATATATGATTTTCATGTAGCAGTTTGACTACCATAGCCTCCATCTTGAACTTTGCTTAGCAAACCTGGCTACTTATATTTCTCCCTTTTCCATCTCTTCACAAATTTTTTAAAGCAATGAGGTGCTGTACTGAACACAAAAAAGTATTCTTGACTTAAACTGTGATTTTTACCATAATTACTCTGATTAAGATCAGCAGTTGTTCATGAACCAACTCTGAGATGTTATACATGCAAGGCCAGGTTATTGAGATTTTTTTCGCCAAATGGTGGCATTCAGAATCAAATTTGTAATACATCTCAAGGCAATTTATATAAAGTTGCATGAAGGTTACTACTTGAAATCTCAAGGAGCCAATATTTAGGTCATCACTCAACCATGAAAAGTTTGTGGAATTTTGATAGCTGGCAGCTCTTATAACCATGAACACCAATAACATTTCTGGATTATCTTGGTTGCATGAACAAAAATTTAACCACACTTGAGATAAATGTAACCATAATAAGTGATGGTCACAACATCACAAACATTTCCAAAATTTTATCAACCCTGAGACTTTTCTAAATTTCACAGTAATAACTAGATGAATAAAAGAATAAATCTCCTATAAAAGTCAGTCTCTTGGTATCATTTAAAGGGAAAGTAAGGTTTAGAAAAGTTTAGCCATATCAAAATTTCCTTACTTGCATTATCCTAAATGGCTATTCATTTGAGCTAAAAACAAGCATTTTCAAGTTAAAAACCATCATCTTTGTTATAACATAACTATGACATAGTCAAGCATGCTGACTTAAATTCCTGCTAAGATGGATGTGAAAAAGGAAAACAGCAATGAGGAGAGTCCTACTGATTAAATTCTCAACTTGGATTTTAACCCAGAGGGTGTAATACATCCATTTATGTTTCAAATACAACATAGCTTGTGTTCAGAGGAAGAAGAACCTCTGTTGACAAAGAAGGCCAGGAAATTGAGTTTCAAGGAGTAACATCCACCTGCTTTTGTGACCACTGAAAGCCTACAGAAAACTAGAATATATATGTCGCCAAGAATTAAATGTACTAGGTCATCTACTCAATTTGAAAGGCAGAGATAGTTTTTCCTCAAAAAAATCCTAGCCCTGGAGTATTATTTTGATAAAGAAGACTGCAGTGCCCAAGACAGATTCATTTCACATATCTACCTGAATGAAAAATTATTTTTGCCATTTCAGGAACCCAGCTTCAGCATATTACTGAGCACCAGTCAGTTGTGCCTTAGAACAGCCCTGGTTAGCATGAAACAAGTTAGAAAGGATAGACTTGAAGATCATCCTTTGCAGAAACACTGACAAAATTCAGTTTTCAAACTTAATGCACATAAAAAGTTGTTAAGAATTAAATTTTGTTTCAGCTTTTAGCTTTAAGTTGCAAGTGGTGATGTAATCTTTTGTGCTTAGAATTTGATTCACCACATTATTTTTCATTCTAAATTGTTTGAAATGTTGTGAATTGTGAGAAGATGAAGGGCTTCATTAATTATAATGAGCACTAGAAAGTCCTCTCTGTCAAACAGTGATTACATTAGAAATTATCTCAAGATAATTGAAACTAAAATGATAATTTCAATTTCTTTTGAAAGTATCAGTATTGAATATTTATGTCAAGTAGTTGGTTGGAGGACATTTATTACTGCTATGTACAATAGTATGGTGTCAAATCAATATGGATTGAATAAATAAATATGGGCCCTTACTTAGCAAAGTATAATTTTCATTCAATCACTAAGAATTTACCACATGTGGTCTATCACCATTTTGAGCTTCAATTTATTTGAATAGAAAAGATAAGATGAAATTTATGCTGATTATAGAAAAAGTCAACATAGCTTTGAATTTCAAGTGAAGGTCAACAAGGACAACTTTCATGCCCATACATTTTGCTTAGGGGCTTCATTTTGACACTTCTCAGGGTTTTTGCCAGCCAAAGTTTTTTAAATATTTCACTTTCCAGTAGCTTGTCAAAGCTTATGCCTTTTCCTTTTGTATTTTGATGTGTATTTTGATATTCAACCACAAGACAGTTCACCATAGTTTAATTACTAGAATATTCTTGTCACAAAGGTCAAACAGGTCAACAAGGACAAAGGGTCAAACTAAGTTTGACTACTGCTATGTCATAGCCGATGTCATGTCCAAGATGGCACGCTTCTAGCCACAAAAGTTGGAAATAAGACCAATTTCACAGCACTCCCATCACAATTGCAATGTAGAGTGAACAAAATGACAGTTATTTTCTAACTCCTGAAGAAAAGTTCTTCTAAATGAGATAAACTTTTTCTAGACCCAACCTCTCTTAAATTAAAAAAAAAGGAACTTTAAAAATATCTCCAAAATAATACGTAAAAACTTAATTACTTGTTAATGTTAAGTACAGTAAATATACCGTATTTACCCGTGTATAATGCGCACTTTTTTTCCATAAAAACAAGCATCAAAATCGTGGTGCGTATTATACACGGATTCTATTGTTTGTCAAGCATGTCCTAATTTGCATACGTTAAAAACGCAACAAAGAAAGTAAAAGTGCACGGATC